ATGTGTCATTGTTTAGATGCGAAGTCCAAACTACTTTTCTTTGAATGTTGTGACATATTTTCATAAATTAGATTTTACATTAATGATTAAAAATGATTGTAACTTCCTCGTACAAAAACTAATAATATATGTGTGTGAATGTGTGAAACATTTTATGAATAAGATTGATACCATGATCCTTGCAAGGATAGTATTCAAGTGACCTTCCCCTATATTTCCACTCTTGAGTTGAGCAATGGGCTAGGCAGCCGACTCCTGCTTTAAAAAACTAAGTCCTGGGCCACAAATTATGGCCCCCAACGCCGGGCTATGTCTAGTGCCAAAATCCTCTCTTTTTATTTTTTCGCTGTTCCCCTTTATTTTTTATGTTGTTTTTATTTTATTTCTTTTTGACCCGACCGGGCCATGTTCTAATAAGGGGAAGGCCGGGCTTGGGCGGGCCATATGGAGCCGAGGCCGGGTCCAAGGCTGGCCCAGTCCAAACACAACGCGTTGCCACCCAACAACTAATGCACCACAAGAGAGTTTTTTGGGTGAATCACCGCAAGAGAGTTTTACTTATTTTTTCCTCTGGGTGAAACCACCACACAAGAGTTGATCAGCTGTGGGACCACAGCTCATCACCACCGTCCATGTTTTCCATGGGCGGCCGATGTTTAATCCACTATAAATTTTCCCTTGTACCTATTACAAACCCTAGAAAGGCTTATAAATTCCCAAAACCCCTCCACTCTGGTTTCTCTCTCCCTTCTCACTGGGTTGTGACTCATTTAGGGTTACTTTCTCTCCCCCTCCACAACATGAGGTCTCTCTGTCTCTCTCTCTAAATAATTCACTCTCTCTCTCTCTCTCTAAATAATTCACTCTCTCTCTCTCTCGCTCTCTCTCTCTCTAGGATTAAACAAGAGCATCAGTGATGAATATCTCCTATTTGTTATCCTTGCACTTTGATATCCCATGAAGAAATCTTGAGGGGAAGAAAAGATCTGAGATGCTTCCTCTTTCATCTTTTTCATTTTTCTTCCATAATTTTCTCTCTATAAAATTTCTCTCCTAATTTCTTTTTGTCTGTAGATTGTTTAATTTTTAATCAAGGGCAATTTTTGTGGGATCTATGATGTTATATTGAACTGCGTTATCTGTCTGCAAATTCCTTGAGGAAGACTTGTAATAAGCTGAGATCCTGATTTATTTGTTTATATAATTATTTTGTATTATTCTATATACATATTTTGGGTTTATTTTGTAGGTTTTTTATCTCTACTTTTTGGGGTGTGTAAATATTTTGATTTATCATTTCTTTTCTACTAAACCTTGTTATTTTAGTTTTTATGTTTTTGTGAGACTGTAGTGTAATCCCACTCTGGAAGTGATGGAGCTTGTTTTCCTCTCTCTCTCTAAAATCTCAATTTCTTCATCATTTAACTTCTTTCATTTCAATGGATGATGAAGACCTTAGGGCACATCTGTTTTGTGTGAAAAAATTTATTCATCTGGTTAAATATGAGAATATTTTCACACTAGTTTCTAATTTCGAGTGAATTTTTTCACTCAAAAATATGATAAGTAAATAGGAAGTACATTATACTATGGTCTTATTGTAAAATTCTTATCTATTGTAAAATACTTATATCCAATCGAGATTTTTTTCATGTAGAAATATGATAAATAAATACGAAAAAATTTCTTTTCATCTTTGAGTTTGGTCAATTGAATAAATGCATCCACCTAATTTTGGTCAAGATTAATTGTGATCATTTTGTATTAAAAATAAATTATTTGAATATATACTTTTCCTATAGACAAACTTTAGAGGGACTATTTCATATGGCCTTTCGGCAAGAGTAGTTTAAGTCCCTAAATATGTAGATCTTATCGTAAAAGAAGTTACATGGAAAATTCAGCCCATTTTATCATACAACTGTAGGGTGACATTTTTAGTGTGCATGTTTTAGCTTCTTTTTAGAGCAATTTAGGCAAACATCAACTAAAAGTTTGGTTTTTTAAAAATACCCTAAATCCTCATGTTATTACACCTATGCCTAATTTATTCATAACTTGAAAAGTTAATGATATTGCCCTACTTTGGCTTTGCGAATCCAAAATTGAACATTTATGTACACCTAACTTGTGAGGTATGCAATGAGAGTATTTTTGGGATTTGAAAATCAGAAGTATTTTAGTTGAGCAAATATTTGAAAACTTGAAATTCTAAAAGCGTATTTGCAAAGCCCAATTTATGGGAGAGAAAGGGATCTCCCATTTTCCATCGAAAAGGGCGGACTTCCAAAAATGAGCTTGTTTTAATGTTAAAAAATAGGGCATGTGGAAGGGCATGGGATGCTGCCCTTCCAAAATCTCTTTGTTCTCAAATGTGGAAGTGAGATGTTCTACTCCGACCTCGAAAATCTCCCTGATATCAAACATCTCCTAAAGTTTTTTCCGTTAGAACTTAAAAAATTTCAAAGTATTTGCCGGACTAAAATACTTTGAATTTTCAGGTTCCAAAGTATTTACTTAATTAAAATACTTTATATTTTTAAATCTAAGGTATCCTTAAGGCTCTTTACAATATAAATGCCAAACTTTGAATTCTCAAAATTTGAAGTGCGGCAATATCATTATTTTTAAACTTTGAATTCTCAAAACTTGAAGTGGGGCTATATCATTATTTTTGATAAATTGCGATCAATTTGGGTACAAAATTTATAGAAATTTTTAATGACTTTAGGAGGATATGTTGCACTTCATCTCCATATCCTACTAAATTGAAGAAAAAATGAATGTTGTACTTAATATTTCTTGAAGTTTAATCATGCAAGATGGGTTTTTGTCACCTATTTAATTGGAGATTCTGAGGGCTTAAACAAAGTGGACGTCATCGTAACAGCAGAACAGACTTTGGGCATTTTGATGATTTAACTTCACTTTTTTTTTGTTCTTTTGGACACGGTTTTTATGAGTCCATGTAAAAATGAGTCACCTCTTAAAACTCTAATTTTGAGATGGATTTTTGGACTTAATTTTTAAGAACATAATATAAAAAGGGAGAGTTTTTTTTGCTTCTTCTATCGCATAAAACTTATAAACTCCCTTTTATCCAACCGTCCATTTTGAATTGAAGGCTAAGATTACCCCAATAACAATGTCACGTCTCTATACCATTTTATTTTAAATTTTTTTTTTATAAACCATTTTGACACCAAATTTTGGATGTCCATTCTTCTATTAAACTCGTACTAGCGAAAAATATAAAAAAAATATTTTAAATAAAATAAAATGATCAAAATACTCTTGAAAGTTTCAAAAGGTATTTTGATTATTATATTTTATTGAAAAATTATTTTTAATATTTTTATAAATGCACGATAATGAGAAGATGACACGTACCAAATTTCATATTCATACAATTTGTATAAAAAAAAATTAAAAATAAAATACTTTGAAACGTCGGATCTAAGATCAAACGGTGAGTAGCACTCTTAATCAAAATTGGACAGCCGGATGGTAAGGGGATGATAGAACTTTTATGTTGTAGAGGAAGTATAGAAACATTTTCCATAATAAAATATATATTAATAGGGCAAGTTTTCTATGCTTCCCCTACAGCATAAAACTTATATACTTCCCTTTATCCAACCGCCCATTCTGAATGGAAGGCTAAGATTGCCCCAATCACAATGTCACGTCTTTATACTATTTTATTTTTAATTTTTTTTTTATAAACTATTTTGACACCAAATTTTGGATGTCCAATCCTCTATTAAACACACACTAGCGAAAAATATATATATAAAAAAATTTCCAATAAAATATAATGACCAAAATACCCCTAAAAGTTTCAATACGTATTTTAGTCATTATATTTTATCGAAAAATTATTTTTAATATTTTTATAGGTGCGCCCCAATGAGAAGATGACATGTACCAAATTTCATATTAATACAACTTGTATATAAAAAAAAAACTAAAAATAAAATACTTTGAGATGTCGAATCTAAGAGCAAACGGTGAGTGGCTCTCTTGATCAAAATTGGACGGCTAATGGTAGGGCAATGATAGTTCTTCTATGTTGTAGGGGAAGTATAGAAACATTTTCCATATAAATAACATAAATATATAAGGAAGATACTACAAAACGCCTATAGACGAAAATGAACAATGATGACGCTTACCCTCATCACCTTTCAAACTTCATTGCACGATCACAATTGTCCGGTAGTGTTTCAATTTTCATTTTGTTTTACTAATCGAAATGATCTGAAATTTGGAGCGTCTGTACATCTTAGTGAGACACACCTAATAAAAAAATATGAAAAAAATAATTCGTAAAATATAAATTAACCAAAATACCCCCATAAATATTTTGTTGTATTTTAATCAATTTATATTTT